TATATTATTCTCATTTTTGGGGGCAATTTTCTCATTCTTCATGGTGGATTTTTCTAGGCCAGTGATTCTATCTTCTACACCTGAGATTCTATTTTCTATATTATTTAGTGAGCTTTTAATACTTTCAAGGAATATTTTGACTTCCTGTAATATATCCTTCATCTCTAACAGGTCCATTTGATTCTTTTTTATAGTATGTATTTCCGCTTTTAAATCTTGCAAGAATTTCCTGACCTCCTAGAACTCGTCAGCTCCTGTCTCCTGCCCCTTCTGCAGTCCCTTGCCTCTCTTCTCTTCCATCTGTTAGCTTCTTCACTATGAATATTCTTTATCAAACATTTCCACGAGTTTCATTGTACTGTCTGAGGATGAAGAGGAGTTATTCTTTTCCCTTGGAGGAGAAGTATTTTCTTGCTTTCCCATATTTCTTGTGACCCTGTGGTGATTTCTAGTCATCCAATGGATGGTGCATTTCTTCCTTATTCTTGAAGTTCAATCTGAGGATTCAGAAGCATACAGAAGGAAGTGATCTGCAGTCTCTCTTTTGTTCCATTTGCACGCTTTGTGCATCAGATTCAGTGGGAATAGAGGAATATTCTGACTCTAATCATATTCACGTGTTTGGATCCTGCTCTCTTGGACCTGTCTAGCACTTAGTGCATAGAGGCCACTAGAAATGAATCTGGAGGAAGAACTCTCAGCAGAAAATCTTCATTTTTCATCAAGGAAAGCAATCTTTCACAGCTCAATTTTGGTTTCCATCTCAGGATTCCTAGGTACTTTTTAAAATAATTCACAGTCATTAACTCATGTAAGTAATTATAAGTGTTTCTAAAGAGGGACATCATCATTTTTTATTTTGAGTACATTGTAATTTAATAATTATTTGTATTGTCTAGTAAATTTGATCTTTAACTGAAAAATACTACATATCAATTCTCTGGGCTTCTATAAATTTTGAAATATGCCACAGTTCTGCTTTGTTTTTAGGTCCATATTGTGGACGTGTGACCGTTCCCAGAGAACTCTTACTGAACACAAGTGAAGTAACCATCCGCTTTGAGAGTGGAACCCACATCTCTGGTCGGGGTTTTTTGCTGACCTATGCCAGCAGCGACCATCCAGGTATAACAGAAGAATTAACACAGTCTGTAAGCATTAGTACCTGAGAATCCCCCTGCTAGTTATCACCATCCCTGGATGAAATAGTGATCTCAGATGCAGAATTAAGATGTAAGGGAAGAGAGAACGCAATATCTTTATAAATTATTAGGTCTGAACTGAATAATTTTATAGTGCCTGTTAAACTGATCAATTGACTGTGGGATCATGTCATTTTTTCCTAGAAATCTTGTATAGCATATATTTATTTATTTATTGGAGAGTTTTTTGTTTTGTTTTGTTTTGTTTTTTGCTATAGGGTGCATGCACTTGCCAGACAGACAGAGACAGACAGAGAGACAGAAAGCAAGAAATCATCCCCCTGGGGGATGGCCACACTGCAATCCCTTCTCCTCCGTACTCCTCTTGGGATCTTGGGCACGCACGCACACGTGCCCAGCGTGAGTTTCAAGCCACTGGATCTGGGACGCAAACCACGGTCCACTACGTGGGAGTCCAGTGACATAGCCATTATGCTAACTGCTGGTCCCATAGCATATATTTTGAGTTATCCGCCTCCAACCCTTCCACAGCCTGGCTACCCTTTGGGGCCGTCTCCCAACCCATCCTTAGCTGAGGGAGCAAGCCTTTTAGCCAGTGACCTCCAACCCCACCCGATGCACACAGGTCCACCATCTTGGGACCATGCGCGGTATGAGCAGGATGAAGTCACTGTTCCGTGATGCCCTAACAATGGAGCTGAAATGAGCAGGAAAGAAAGGAAGAATATTGACGAGAGAAAAGTGTGAACACCTGTTCTGGCCTCTTACTTATCCTTCAAAGTAATTACCATGCAGCCGGCTCCGTGTCTGCCCAGGTTCACAGAGCTGCCCACACTGTCTGCCCTCAGTCTCCCTGGCAGAAACACTCTGCAGTGGTTTGTGCCATTCATTTCCATTTTAGCCAATCAGATCTGAATCATCATAGCAGGCCCCAGTATCTCCAGTATGCATCATATGTTGCTTCCTAAGAACAACTGGTAAGATTGTGGAAAGAAAGAACTATTACCACAAACATGATTGTTTGGGGAGCTATGCTAGGCTGATCTAAATGCATCAAGAGCCAGTTTTCGTTGCTTCCCATGCAGGGTATTAGTTCGAGTCCAAAGAACACTGCCTTTTTTTAAGTGCTGGGTTCTGATGCTTCAAAGCTGATATGCTGTCAGTGTTCTCATTAAACATCTGCTTCTGAGTCATGATGTGCCACTGGTTAAACTGTTGAATTGTTGAAAAATATTTTTTGAGAGGTTTTTGCTATACAGCACATGCACTTGCCAGAAAGACAGGGAGAAACAGAGACAGAAAGAGAGAAATCACTTTCCAGGGGGGATGGCCATGCTGCAATCCCTCCTCCTCCATTCTCCTCTCGGGATCTTGGGCACACATGCACACACGCCCGGCGTGGGTTTAATCCACTGGGGCCAGGACTCGAACCGCAGTTGACTACATTGGAGTGCAGCAACATAGCCATTACGCCAACTGCTGGTCCCCTAAACTGCTGAATTTTAATGTTCATGGGAGCCTTCTCTATGAATTCTACTGCACTTTTGAAATTATGTCCCACTTTGCCAAGGAAATTATACACAAAATTTTTGTAGGCATGTAGTAGACAGTAAATAACCTGTGTTGGTTTTTCTGTTGAAAATAGATTCTGTTATTATCCCCTAGATTATATTGAAAAATCATCATTGCTGGCAAAAATAGGAAGGGAAAAGAACCAATTAAATACTAGGGACAGTGTTCTCTGTTTTTGTTTACTTTTCACAAAAATGGAAAAAATTTAGTTAACCAGATAATGAATACATGCTTTTTTAAAAATTGTCATTTTTATATTTTTTAAAAATCCCTACCATATAAATGTCCTAATTTCCTTTCAGTCTTCTAATTGTAATTATCTTTATTTGTGACAGATTTAATAACGTGTTTGGAACGAGGTAACCATTATTTGAAGGCAGAATTCAGGTAAATATAAGTGTCCTAGCTGTGCTTCAGTCAAATATTGCTTGAACATTTTGATTTCCTTGATGTTAAACTATTGAGGTTAAATAAGACATGTATTTGTATTTAAATTTTAAAATTTTGCCAGATGACACCTGTGTGTCCAAGAATGACAGAGACACAGAGACAAAGAGAAAGTGAGAAAACACCCCTATGGTCATACCCAAATCCTTTCTCCTCCATTTCTCTCTCCTGTCAGGATTTTGGGTACACGTACACAGATACCTGTCATTTTGTTTCTGTTTTTATTTTTTTCCAAACCACTAGGTCCAGGACTTGAACTGTGAGGTTAGACATGTGTGATCCAGTTCTACTGACCACTTGGCCATGGGCTGGCCCTGTACTTTAATTTTTTAAACTATATTGTAACTAATAAAGAATATTTGGATTTATTTATTTATTTATTTATTTATTTATTTATTAGAGCAATTTTTGCTACAGGGCATGTGCGCTCGCCGGAGAAACAAAGAGAGAGAGATAGAAAACAAAAATTCACCCCCCAGAGGGAATGCCCGTGCTGCAGTCCCTTCTCCTCTATTCTCTTCTTGGGATTTTGAGCATGCATGCACACTTGGCCAGTGTGAGTTTTATGCTGCTGGGTACAGGACTCGAACCACAGTTGATTACATGGGAGACCAGCGACATAACCATTACACCATCTGCTGGTTCCTCAAATTTTTTTTGCTTTTTTAATTTGTCAAAGAGCACTTGTGCTCACCAGAGAGAGAGAGAGAGAGAGAGACAGAGAGAGGAATAGGGGAAAGCACTCTCCCAGTAGGGCAGGGTCATGCTTCAGTCTCTTCTGTTTCTGTCCTGTCAGAATTTTGAGTGCACATGCACACATGCTTGGAGAATTTTTTTGCTGTGTCTGGGATTCAAACCACTTGGTGGGCCATATGGGATCCAACTTCCTTAAACTAGCCAGCCCTCAAATAATTTCTTTTTTTTTTCTTTTGGAGAGGTTGTTGCTACAGGGTACGTGTGCTCGCCAGAGAGACAGAAAGGGAGAAATCACCCACTGGGGGGGGCGGCCACGCCGCAATCTCTTCTCCATCCTCGAGATCTTGGGCACGCACGCACACACATCCAGCGTGAGTTAAACCCACCAGGTCCGAGACTTGAACCCCGGTTGACTACATGGGAGTTCAGCAACATAGCCATTACGCTAACTCTGGTCCCCAAATAATTTCTTAACACAGCAAGAAGTCAGCAATCATTTTCTGTCAAGGAGTAGATAGTAAATAGTTCAGAGTTTGTAAGCCATACAATCTCTGTTGCACTTATTCATATAATCTCTGTTGCTCTTATACCAAAAAAACTGCCATGTAAACAAATAAGCATGGCCATGTTCCAATAAAACTTTATTAAACAAAGAAAGCAGTGGGCTGGGCTTAGCCCACGAACCACACTGTGCTGACTCTGAGTTCCACTCTAGTACCAATGAATCATAACTGAGTCTAGACTGCTGCAGGGAAGAAAGTTTATTTTTCTTTCCCACTAAAGAAATACCTATAGGGAGGCCCAGCAGGTGGCATAGTGGTTAAGGTGCTGGACTCCCACATGGTTGATAGCAATTCATGTCGCAGACTCACCAGCTTGAAAATCATGATGGGCATGTGTGCCCAAAATCCCGGAAGGAGAATGGATTGTGGCATGGGCATCTTTCCTATGGTGGTGATTTCTCACTTTGTCTTTCACTGTCTCTCTCTCTTTGGTGAACGCATGTACTCTATGGCAAAAACATTTTTTTTTTTTTTGGAGAGGTTTTTCACTATAGGGCGTGTGTATTCACCAGACAGAGAGAGACATAGAGATAGAAAGCGAGAAATCACCCCCCAGAGGGGATGGTCACACCGCAATCCCTTCTCCTCCATTCTCCTCTCGGGATCTTGGGCACGCACACACACACACCCGGCGTGAGTTTTAAGCCACTGGGTCCGGGACGCGAACTGCAGTTGACTACGTGGGAGTCCAGCGACATAGCCATTACGCTAACTGCTGGTTCCCGGCAAAAACATTTTTAAAAAAAAGAAAAAAAAAAAAAAGAAAACATAAATACCTAACTGAAATTAAGAAGATACAAATTTTCAATTCAGTTTTACTTTAACTGGAAAAACTATTTAACACGTTGACTAACATTCACTTCTGTAAAGTAAAATGATCTAGAGCAGCATTTCTCAACCTTGACACTATTGGTATTTTGGGTTGGATAATTATTGTGAAGGGCTGTCATGTGCATTGCTTTATATTAAACAGCATCCCTGGGCTCTACACTCTAGATGCCACTAGTGATAACCAAGAATAGTTTGCAAACATTGCCAAATGTCTTTTTCTTGGCAAAGTTATCCCCAGCTAAGAAGCACTGGAAGAGAGACCATTGTCAATAGCAACACTAACAAAATTGTCACTGTTCAGAGTGCTTTCTTAGTTCCATGCACAACTCTCTGCCCTTAGCACAGAAGTATAATATTTCAGGTGAACATTCCAATATGCCTACAAGGTAGTTTCTGTTATGTCCTGAAAACCAAGGCACAGAGCAATTACGGAGCTTGCCCTCTTAATACTCCGTGAATGCAGGGAGTCCTAAACTCTCAGACATTTGAATATTCTGTAAATGAGATTGCTTGATGTGTAGTGCTAACTCTAGGGTTAACTAACATTAAGGCTAGTAGGGAAAACAAGAACAAAAATAAAAATGAGCAGTAATCAAATGTCCTGTAAAGTTACTGCTTGCCCATTGTACGACTATACCAATGTTCTCTAAGGTCTTTCCAGACATTCCTATGCAGTTCCAGGAGTGACAGATCTTCTGGGCTTCAGTGGTCAGTTCCTGTCTTCCAAAACAAAAGAAATATTCTGGGACCAGCAGTTAGCGTAATGGCTATGTCGCTGCACTCCAATGTAGTCGACCGCCGTTCAAGTCCTGGACCCAGTGGCTTAAACCCACGCCGGACGCGTGTGCGTGCGTGTCCAAGATCCCGAGAGGAGAACGGAGGAGAAGGGATTGCGGCGTGGCCATCCCCCCTGGGGGAGGTGATCTCACTGTCTCTCTGTCTCTCTCTGTCTTTCTGGCGAGTGCATGTGCCCTATAGCGAAAAACCTCTCAAAAAAAAAAAAGAAATATTCTGGAACCTATAGGTTGGCATTTTAGTGCCAGATCTACTAAGCTGCAGTCCAGCTATTCTGTAGTGTTTAGTTAAAGATAAGGCATGGCAACTAGTACAGATGCACAATCTCTACTTGAAATAATTCTGAAATATAGAAAGCTTTCAAAGCCTTTGTAACTCATTTGATGACAATATCTGATTAATGTGGCTTTAACTTCATTGGACAGCAGAATGGTATTAGGTTAGTATAAGCCTATTTAGCTACCAGGCATTTTATTTAATGTGACTATTCATGCACTAAACATGAAGATAGCTCATCAATTGATAGTTTTTTTTATTAAGTTTTTGATTAATGTGTGCAGACAACACTGGGGACTTAAATACATCACTGACACTGTTTTACTTTTCAAAAATCCAAAAAATTCTACATCCTGAAATATATCTGGCTCTGAGAAAATTGGCGCTAAGGAACTGACACCCTGTAGTAGCATTACCTGTTATTTTTATTTTTAAATTTCCTAGTTACTGGTGCAAGGCTGAGACTCTAAAAGGTCAGTGAGAAAGAATTTTGAAACATTTATGTAGGTAGTTTTAGTAATTAGCTGTTGTTACCTATATAATTTGCTAAGCCAGCAATAGGAAGCTGAGAGGAAATGAAATAAAAACAACTGCTTTTTAGGAATCTGTTGGTCTGGCATGCTCTTTTAAACAAACCAAGTAAACATTATCACGAAGTGGTACATGTAGAAACAAGAGCTCACCACATTCACCTTCAGAGTTGTCCGTGTTCTATCATAGTTGATGTTTCTTTTTGCAGATTTTTTATAGATGTGTGTAGCTGTCCCTCATCCTATTGTTGCATTGGCATTTAAAGGAAGTAGGGATGAGAAACTGAATCTAAGAGAGATTGCACGTGGTATTCAGGGTCACACAGCTAGATAGGTAGTGTCAGAACCTGGGTCATCCTGCCCCTAACATTGAGACCCTGCAACATACTACATGCCATGACATGTTTTTGGAAAATTTCTTGAAAAGTGACTGTTAAAGTCAGTGGAATCTTAGTTTTAAGATATACTTTTTTTCGGGTCTAGCAGTTAGCATAATGGCTATGTCGCTGGACTCCCATGTATTCACCCATGGTTCGAGTCCCGGACCCAGTGGATTAAACTCACACCGGGCGTGTGTGTGTGTGCGTGCCCAAGATCCTGAGAGGAGAATGGAGGAGAAGGGATTGTGGTGTGGCCATTCCCCCGGGGGGGAATTTCCCACTTTCTCTCTCTCTGTCTCCCTCTGTCTTTCTGGTGAGCACACACGCCCTATAGCAAAAACCTCTCTCCCATGCAAAAAAAATAAATAAGAAAGAAAAATACACTTTTTTTTCTAATTGTGAAAGTAATTCATAACTAATATATACAATTACTGTCCAGTATGGTAACCACAGGCAGCTCTTGAGCACTTGAACTGTGGCGAATCCAAATAAGGATGTGCTATAGTTATAAAATACATCCTAGGGCTGACCCTGTAGCCTAGCAGTTAATGGAGCCATATCCCATATGGCTAACCACAGTTCAGGTCCCAGCCCCAGGGGCTTGAAAAACATGCTGAATGCATGTCAGTACATGTCTCAACATTCCAACAGGATGGAGAAATGGAAGAAAAGAAGTTAAGTCATGACCATGACCATGGGAAGATGCTCTCTCTCTCTCTCTCTCTCTCTCTAGCTAGTGCACCCATCCTCTGGCAATGAAAAATTAAGGAAGGAAGGTTGGAAGGAATTAAGGAAGGGAAGGAAAAAAATATATACCCTAAGTTTTGGAGACTAAGTTCAAATAAATAAATAAATAAATATTATAGAATAAAATAGCTCATCAATTGAGTTTTTTTTCTGCTCATATGTGGAAATGACAAAATTTGGTTATATTGGATTAAAAAAAATAGATTATTAATTTTGCTTGTTTCTTTTTACTTTTTAAATGTGGTTACTAGAATATTAACCTTTATATATGTGGTTATATTATGTTTCTATCAGACAGTGCTAAAGAAATGAGGTATTATATTATATATAACACAGAAAGTAAAAATTCCTCATAATCCCGGAGAGAAGGCAAGGATATTCATTATCTTTTCCTTATCCATAGAAAGCATAGATTGTTATATATTTTTATGTATTCCTTTTTATAAAAATGAGATTATACTACATATATTGTTTAGAGGTTTCCTTTTTTCTTTAAACTATTTTTGGGATCTCTTAGAATCAATTAAAATACATTAGGGAAGCTCATTGATTCCTAGTGTTTATGGTGAACCCTCATATAAAACAGATAATTATTGAGTAAAATTTGCCTTCAGATAAACATTTAAAATCAGTCTGAGTTCTTGCAAATCAAGCTTCTGATTTGTCATAGAAACCAGATATTACATCATGTTCTGTGGAGGAAAAAACTGCTTTCGAATTTAAGTGTAATTTAATACTTTTTGTTTAAGTATAGTTAAATACACTATAAATTCTTTATTTTTCTTTTTCCAGCAAATTCTGCCCAGCTGGTTGTAGAGACGTAGCAGGAGACATTTCTGGGAACATGGAAGATGGATATAGAGATGTAAGTAACTGGATGTAATGGCAGAGAGGGGACTAAAAGAAGTTTGGGGGTGATTAGTCTGCTGAATTTATTGCAAAGTGAAGTTAAATAATAAATAAAACTCCAGATTTGTGGATGATTCTCTCTTCTTTGAAAATAAATGAAATCAAAGTGTAAAAACCAAGGTTATTGGGCCAGCTAGTGACATGGTTGTTAACACAACTGGATCCCACGTGGCCAACTGAGCGGTTTGAGTCCTGGACCTGGTGGCTTAAAACACACATGTGTGTGCATGCCCAAAATTTTGAAAGGAAAATGTAGAGAAGGGATTGTGACATAGCCATTCCCCCAAGAGTACATTCTCACTGTCTCTCTCTGACTTTGTCTGTAGGATGGGGGAAAGGGATCACGATATGAGACCCTGTGTGTGTGTGTGTGTGCACGTGTGTGGTCTTTCACTCGTGCTTTCTATCATGAATAAAATAAACAATCTTTTTTTAAAAGTTGGGTTTACAGCCTGGTGAATTGGCTTGAGTTGTTAGAAATGTGAAAATCTATTAGGTTGTCGGGAAAGTCATGACAAATTTTTCTATGCAAAAATGCATCGTGACTGGGAACCAGCAGTTAGCGTAATGGCTATGTCGCTGGACTCCCACATAGTCGACCGCGGTTCGTGTCCCGGACCCGGTGGCTTAAAACTCACGCCGGGCGCGTGTGCGTGCGTGCCCAAGATCCCGAGAGGAGAATGGAGGAGAAGGGATTGCGGCATGACCATCCCCCCTGGGGGGTGATTTCTCGCTTTCTGTCTCTATGTCTCTCTCTGTCTGTCTGGCGAGCGCACACGCCCTACAGTGAAAATCTCTCAAAAAAAAAAAAAAGAAAAATGCATCGTGACTTTCCCAATGACCCAATTACAGTGATGGAACTATTCTTAACATTATTGATGTGTATACTTCTGTATGAGAAAAATAGTCTTTGTCTACATGTTCTAGGAGGTTGATATTCATCGGTGACGGGAGAGACTTGACTCAATTTTGCTTTTAACACATCCCGATTCTGTTTTTGTTGTTACTTTTTTTTTCCCTTTGGCAGATTTTATTGTTACTTTTCTTTTAGTTTCCCTTTTCCTATGTTGTTTTTATTTGCAAGATTGACACGGTGTATTCTTTTGTCCAATAAATTGTTCGAATTGTAAAATGATTTACACTACCTCATTTTGAAGATTTATTTGGCACAGGCTGCTCCTAAATGACTTCAGAAAATTAAGATAATAAAAAATTGAAATATAGTTGTTTTTTCTTATTCCCTAGCAATAGGTTTGCCTTTATTTTTCCTTATTTGCCTGTTCTGTGCAAGAAAGTTAAGAATTATGTTCAATAAGATAAATCCCATAGTTGTTATCTCTCCTTTTCCATGGGTCAGGAGACTGGGCATGTCTTAGCTAAGTTCCCTGCTGCAGTCTCATCTGAGGCGTGACTGAGGAAGGATCTGGTTCTTAGCTCCGGTTACTTACCGGCTGTTGGACAGAGCGCCTCAGTTTCTGCCGAGATTATAGCTAGAAGCCACCCTTTGTTTCCTGCAATTTGAGCCTTCCCAGCATGGCCATTTGCTTCCTCAAAGACAGCCAAGGAGAATCTTCTAGCAAGGATATCTCCTAGAAAGATAAGTTATATATAGTCTTATTTAATGTGATCGTAGCACTGGTGTGCTATCACCTTTGCCATATTCTATATATTACTTAGGAGGAAGTCACAACTCCCACCCACACTAGAGGAATTATACAAGGATGATACTAGCAGGCAGGGGTCATGGAGGATCTCTTAGAATCTGTTCTCCATGACACCTTTACTTTAAAAAATGTGTTCAGTTGTAACAAGTCATTTTTTGCTCTTTGCAAAAACCAAAGCACACCCTATAAGTCAGGATGACAGAATCTGTGGAATAAATTACTAAAGGGGCTAGCTGTTGAAGAAGCCAGGTCACTGTCTCTGGGATGAATATGTTGCCCTGAAGAGCTATTATAGAAAAAGCACTGGTTCGGGATCAGCAGTAAGCATAATGGCTGTGTCGCTGGACTCCCACATAGCTGACCACGGTTCGAGTCCCATACCTGGTGGCTTAAACTCACACCAGGTGCATGTGGGTGTGTGCTCAAGATCCCGAGAGGAAAATGGAGGAGAAGGGATTGTAGCATGGCCATCTCCTCTGGGGGGTGATTTCTCGCTTTCTGTCTCTCTGTTTCTGTCTGTCTTTCCGGCAAGCACACATGCCCTATAGCAAAAACCTCTCCAAAAAAAAAGAAAAAGCATTGGTTCATTCTGTGTTGCTAGAAGGCAGAACTAGGATCAGTGGATAAAAGTTATGAGGTGACAAATTTCAGCTGCAGGGGGACCAGCAGATGGCATAATGATTATATCGCTGGACTCACACCAACCACGTTTCGAGTCCCAGACCCAGCGGCCTAAAACTCACACCAGGAGCATGTGTGTGCATGCCCAAGGTCCAGAGGGGAGAATGACAGAGAAGGGATTGCTGCGCGGCAATCTCCCCTGAGAGGTGATTTCTCACTTTCTGTCTCTCTGTCTCTCCAGCAAGCGCATGCACCCTATAGCCAAAAAATCTCTCTTAATAGAGAAATTTCAGCTGCAGATAAGGAATAATTGAACAGTGCAAAATGGAGTAGGATGTCTGAGAAACAGCTTCTCGTCACTGGAAGTGTCAGATGTAGATGTGACAACCATTTTTCAGAGACGGACTTCATGTGTGTGGGAAGGGGATGCTGCAGAATGGAAATGGGCGTATTCTGTCAAGAGGCTTGAGTGGGGAACTTTAAAGGGCTTTTTGGATTCTTAAGATTCTGTGATTCTTTCTCTTTGTCTGATGAATTAAGGCACCCATCTTGGTGTATGCTTCCAACGCCAGCGAAGTAGTGTGAGCCTCTCTCCTGCCCCCAGAACAGTTTTTCTCTTCGCACCTTCTCCCAAGCCGGCTGGCTGTACCATCTGTTTTTAAGTGGAACACATCACTCTATTATTTCAGTAATCCTCCCTCCCCCCAAATGTTCAAGAAGTATTGTAAAATAAATAACAGCAGTACATACAGTGTGCTCCTGGTTTAGGTAGAAAAAGGAGAAAGAGGGCCTCTTGAACACACCCACAGAAAGCCAGAGGGAGATACCTTAAAGAGGTAAGTGAGTGTCTCTGGGTGAGAACAGTATAACTAAGGGTTTTTGTGTATGTGTTTTCCAACATTTCTTTGTTGGAAACGAAACAAAATAATATTCTTTATACTTTTATAAAGAAAACGTATTGTGGGAACCAGCAGTTAGCATAATGGCTACGTCGCTGGACTCCCACGTAGTTGACCGCGGTTTGCGTCCCGGACCCGGTGGCTTAAAACTCACGCCGGGCGCGTGTGTGTGCGTGCCCAAGATCCCAAGAGGAGAATGCAGGAGAAGGGATTGTGGTGTGGCCATCCCCTCTGGGGGGTGATTTCTCGCTTTCTGTCTCTATGTCTCTCTCTGTCTGTCTGGTGAGCGCACGCGCCCTGTAGCAAAAACCTCTCCAAAAAAAATAATAAAAAAGAAAACGTATTGCTGGGACCAGCAGTTTAACATTTTACCATCATTCTACATTTTTATCTGTGTGCTTTATTCTATCTTGTTGTTCCTGATTCAAGGCTTATTAAATGTGATCTAAAATATTTGTTTTCATATTAGATCATCTTTTAATTAGATCTTCTTGTCAATATTTTTAGTACAAGTTGATTTTTCCTAAAGGAAGGTTTTTATGTTTTTTGTTTGTTTTGTTTTGTTTTGTTTTGTTTTGTTTTGTTTTGGAGAGGTTTATTGCTACAGGATGTGTGTGCTTGCCAGAGACAGAGAGACAGAAAGCAAGAAATCACCCCCCAGGGGGATGGCAACGTCATCCCTTCTCCTCCATTCTTCTCTTGGGATTTGGGCATGCACGCACATGCACCCGGGGTGAGTTTAAGCCACCAGGTCCAGGACTTGAACCACGGTCAACTACGTGAGAGTTCAGCGACATAGCCATTACACTAACTGCTAGTCCCTGTTTGTTTGTTTTTAAATGCTCCAATCCTGGAATGATTTGGTAATTGCTTGCAAAGTCATTTTAGTTTTACCTCTTGCTAATCTGGTTGGCCACCTTTTGGGGCTAAGTGAACTTCAGAAATGTTTACGGAGTATATTACCCACCTGCAATGACTGAGCCATGAAGGTGTTCTTCCCAGCTGTCGATCATATTCCCTTTCCTGAAGAATTACTACAATCTTATTTTTTTTAAGAGAGAATTTTATTGCTATAAAGTGTGTGCACTCGCCAAAGAGACAAAAAAATCAGAGAGACAGAGAGAAATCACCTTCCAAGGAGGATGACCCTGCCACACTCTCTTCTCCTCCATTCTCCTCTCTAGACTTTGGGCAAGCATGCACACGCACCTGGTTTGAGTTATAAGCTGCTGGGTCCAGGACTTGAATCGCTGTCGACTATATGGGAGTCCAGAAATATAACCGTTACGGAATATACTGACCCTGAATTATGACATTTAAATGACTGTATTTGAGTTAATAAATTTTGTGTAAGCCAGGCCACTAATTAACATAGGCCGGTGATGTGGCTTTCCTGTATTTACACTTCGGTGAGACTTAGACTTCAAAATTAGCTAGAAAATCAAAGTATTAATTGTACCACTGTTCAAAAGAATTAAAAAAAAAAAAAAAACAAGTTCAATGAATGTAAATCATTAAAGCTAATACCAAAAAAAGCTACAAATTAAATAAACATAAATTTTGTTGGAGTTGTTTGGGTGAGGGAGTGATTTTTTTTTTTAAGGAAGTAACCTGGAAAAGACTGATACTTTTATCAGGGTACTAGCTAGGTCTGGTTGCTATCCTCTTTGAAATGTAGACTATGGACTGCATTTAATATTGTGAAATAATATTAGCTACGTTTGAATTCATTCCATAAAGGGGTATATAGCATTGTGTCCCCTCCATACTGAGTACTCAGTATTGAGTACTGCGGGAAATGAGAATATTTGTTGGCCAGTTCTGGTAGGTCCTTCTGCTCTGTGAACCTGTCCTACAACCGAGGTGGCTCTGGGACATGTTAAGTCCAGGGAGAACTCCATACAGGGCAGGGCTCCTGAGATAAAGCCTGGTAAGACTTCCGGCAAAATTCCAGGGAAACACATAATCCCAAGGACAGTGGGAACGGCTGCTGAGCAGACCATTAGACCAGTCTGCTTTTCATTCTAGGGCGTAGACAGGAATTCAGGCCAGCATGGACCTATCCTATAAAAGGTACCCTGGGTGCTCTTTAGAATCACAAGGTGACAGACTTTCAGAAAGATACCCGGGCCAGCCTTTTCATTGTCCAGATGAACTGGAAGCCAGGGTAGCATTAAAATGAGTTGAGCAAATCTAGAGGACAAGTGAAATTACTGAATTTAATTCAGGACTTTCCTCTTAATTTAATTATTTAACTTTCTAGAGGGTGCATGCACTTTCTGGGGAAAAAGAGAGAGATCATGAGAAAGAACCTCTCGTGGGCAGTGGTCATGATGTGATCCATTTTCCTCCTTTTCTCCTGCCTTTTGGAATTTTGGGCATGCACGCATATACGCCCAGTGTTTCTAGAGCCGCTGGGTCTAGGACTTGAACAGCGCAATCAGCCGTAAGGGATCTAACCACAGTAGGGGATCTAACCACAGTAGTCACCACACCACTGGCTGGCCCCAGGCCTTTCTCTCCAGATAGCTGGCTCTTCCATTTTGTAACTCCAGAGTTCAAACCAGTGATAAGAAAGCTTTTGATTGAAGGAAAAATTAGGAAAAGTAAGTGCAAGCTGCATTTTCATTAGAGTACTATCTTTTTCTCTTCTTCTAGTTCTTTTTCTTCCAGAAAGGGTAGCGCTGCGTCTGTGTTGCAGCATTCTGATTTTTTTTCTATAATAAAATCTCCCCTTTGGGCAATGATAGTTATTGTGAAACTGACTCACTTTGCCAAATCTACTCTAGTTTGGAAAATATGAACTCTAATTTGAAAATCACAGTTCTCAATCTTTTTACAACTACATTAATTACACAATATGATTTATCTCATTGGTCCTCTTAATGTTGCAGCCTAAATCTAAGAGAACTTGTTCGTTGCATAGGTTCTTATGCTCCCCTAACTGACATCTCTCCTGCGACTGCCCTCCTGTGGCCGACCATCTGGGGCAAGGGCGCGTTGGTAGCTTCATTCCCATTTGTGGCAGGGGCTGGGCAGAACAAGCCACATGGCAGTATTCCCTGGGAGGGCCACTACTGTAAATTACCAGAAACACAGCGGGCAACTCCAGCTGTATTTCCTGAAGTGAGCTCTGAGTGCTGATGTTTCTGTGTTTCAGACTTCTGTATTGTGCAAAGCTGCCATCCATGCGGGGGTGATCGCAGATGAGCTGGGCGGCCAGATCAGCGTGCTGCAGCACAAAGGGATCAGCCACTACGAAGGCATCCTGGCCAATGGCGTGCTCTCCCGAGAGTAAGTACTTTGCCTTTCTGTCCTGAGTGGAAAGTAACCCTGAAGGCAGTAATTAATCAGCTTGCAATTTTGAAAGAACAGCAGAGTATGATACCAAGGGTTTGTCAGCTGGGATAAACGCTGTGACTGCTTAGAACAGCATGTATGGTCTCGACAGGGGAGATAAATGCAGCAATACAAAGGCTCCCCATTACGTTGGAGGGTAAATTAAAATAGTACACATCTATAGCCCCAGGGCAGAGGAGTATCAGTACCTTTACTCTGAGATGTTTTGCAGAGGAGTATCAGTACCTTTACTCTGAGATGTTTTGCAGAGGAGTATCAGTACCTTTACTCTGAGATGTTTTGCAGAGGAGTGTCAGTACCTTTACTCTGAGATGTTTTGCAGAGGAGTATCAGTACCTTTACTCTGAGATGTTTTGCAGAGGAGTATCAGTACCTTTACTCTGAGATATTTTGCAGAGGAGTATCAGTACCTTTACTCTGAGATGTTTTGCAGAGGAGTATCAGTACCTTTACTCTGAGATGTTTTAGTGGGAGAGAATGAAGGCTTATTCTTTTTTCTTCTTCTTTTCTGAGCTTCAGTAAATTATTGATTATCTCTAATATCTGATACTGACAAAGACGGGAAATGAAATATACCCTTATCACTAAGCCGAGCTCCCCAGAAGATTCCCCCAGTCAGCCTCGTAATGACGAGTAGTAGTAGTCTGGGAAGTGAGGAAAAATGGCTTTGGTTGATGTTATTAACTTCCTGGTTTGGTGTTTTCCTCTGCTCTTCTAGCTTCCTAAGAAGAAAAGTATGTCACCTACTTTAACTATTTCACCTTAAGCCTTCACACTGATTTCCTCAGCTTCTAGAAGGTGGAAAACGAGAGCTGTATAGAGCTCAGTTTAGGCCCACCCTGGGGCACAAATGTCCATGCACAAGAATAGGCAGCTTGGAGTGGTCAAGGGAATAAAAACTTGGTGAGGAGAAAGTGCTCTTTGAGACACATTATTTCTCTCATTCTCTCACTCTATCTGCTCCTGGAAAGGTCTTCCTGCTACTGAGACTTGGGTTTTTTTGGACAGGTTTCCACATGGTCTGGGTCCCAAGGATAAGGTGCCAAACAGAGCCTCTCTGTCTCTCTGGGAGAGAGACTGAGAGTAGGAGAGAGGGAAAGTAGGAGAGAGGGAAAGTAGGAGAGAGGGAAAGTGAGACAGCATCCCACTGGAGGATGGTCATGCCTTAATCCTTTCTCTTCTGCTTCTGTTTTGGGCATGCACACTCATGTGCCCAGCATATTTTTCAAGCCGCTGCATCTGAGATCGAAACTGCAGTCGGTCCTGTGGGATCCAGCTTCCTTCACCACCAAGCCACCAGCTGGTCTGCCTGTGACTTTTAAGAATCTATTTCCTTTTGGGAACCAGCAGTTAGCGTAATGGCTATGTCGCTGGACTCCCACGTAGTCGACCGCGGTTCGCATCCCGGACCCGGTGGCTTAAAACTCACGCCGGGCACATGTGCGTGCGTGCCCAAGATCCCGAGAGGAGAATGGAGGAGAAGGGATTGCGGCGTGTCCTTCCCCCCTCCGGGGTGATTTCTCGCTTTCTGTCTCTCTGTCTCTCTCTGTCTGTCTGGTGAGCGCACGCGCCCTATAGCGAAAACCTCTCCAAAAAAAAAAAAAAGTAAGAATCTATTTCCTTTTATGTTTTTTGATGTTTTCTTATATGAATGCTAGTGTATTATTTCTTTCTCTTTTTCTTTTTTAGATTTGCCAGAGGGCACATGTACTTACCAGAGAGAAAAAAGAGAGAGGGAAAGGAAGAAAAGCAGCTCGTGATAGGGTGTGGTCATGTGCAATCCCTTCTCCTCCTTTTCTCTACCCTGTTGGGATTTTGGACATGCCACACACTGGCATATTTTCAGGCCACTGGGACTTGGATTCAAGCCATGTAGCCAGCCACTTGGGATCAGTCCCCTTAAATACTAAGCCACAGGGCCATGGGACTAGCCCAATACTGGAGTAATATTTCAAGAAGATGCCAGGCTTTGGTCTAGATTTTTTGCATGCTACTATCTTCAAACAGGAATGGAGAACCAGCTTTTGGCTTTAAATCTGTTTTTTAGACTCTTACCTATGTTTGTTTACATTTGTAGGCTTCTTTTGTGGGGGAAAACAGGGTAATAAAAAGTTTAACTTGTACAGCTTAGATTTTATTTTACTTTTCAAGAAAAATCATTAAAGCTATTTAATAAAAATTAGAACCAGCAAATGGTGTAATGGTTATGTCGCAGGACTCCCACGTAGTCAACCGTGGTTCGAATTCTGGATCTGGTGGCTTAAAACTCATGGCAGGGACATGTGTGTACATGCCCAAAACCCCAAGAGGAGAATGGAGGAGAAGGGATTGTGGTATGACCATTCCTCTCGGGGGGCAATTTCTTGCTTTCTTTCTCTCTGTCTTTCTCTGTCTTTCTGGCAAGTGCACACACCCTATAAAAAAAAAATCTCTCTTAAAAAGTTATTTGATAAAAATAGTCTTTCTACTTTCAGTTATATATATATATATGTTATATAATTTGAAATTAAACATCCATTAAAAAGAAGAATACAGAAATCTAAACCATTAATAAATTAGAAAAAGTTTTGGTCCGTATTCCATATAGTCACTTGAATGCATTGTCTGGTTTTTGTTTTGGTAGAAGCAGATAGAAAGGACACAGTTATGTTCAGATCTGTTCTTGCTTCTGGCTCTATAATCTGTGTACCGACGTTTGCACTGAGCAAAAAGTGAGCTGCACTGTCTTAATGCAGCCTCCTCTGCTTGTTTAGATTCCCAGATCTTCAGGGAGTGGTTGTTTTCATCTGTGTTGTTTTGCTGTTGGGGAGCCACTGTACATGCGGTCATTGAACTTACGTTCCCACACATGATTGTTTGGCATTCAGGAAAAAACACAGAAGGAAACACTGCAGCTGAGGAGGAAGGGGTCCCTAAAGTAAATATCCAGAGTTCTTCTGGGATTCATCCCAGGTCAGGTCACTTCCTCGATTTGAGGAGACCAGAATGGAATCAGGAAGAGGCACTGACCTCATCCAGAGGATGATGGCTCTAGCCAACAAAAGGGAAAGCCTTTCTGTCTACTGGGAAGGTTCCTTGTTCCTGTTATCTGATTGAATTAATTGACCCTAATGTGGACATACTTAGAACCCTAACCTACTTAAGGTATTTTTGTTTTTAAAATAAGAGTCTTACTTATCCATAGAATATCTAAGTGGTCCTATTTAATTAATTGAATAAGTGAAATTGAAATCACATTCCAGCTGATAATAGAATAAAGCCCAGCAGAGAACTGTTGGAAGCAGAGCTTATGATGATGTCTTCTCAGGATTAATTCTGAAAGTATACGTGTTTCCATGCTTATTCTTTTTTTAAAATAATTTATTTAATTATTAAATTATTATTTTTTGAGAGGTTTTTGCTATAGGGCACGTGCGCTCACCAGAAAGAGAGAGACAAAGAGACAGAAAGCGAGCAATCACCCCCCGGGGGGATGGCCACACTGCAATCCTTTCTCCTCCATTCTCCTCTTGGGATCTTGGGCACGCACACAGATGCGCCCAGCATGAGTTTAAGCCACCGGGTCTGGTACTCTAATCACAGTCGATTTATATGGGAGTGCAGCAGCATAGCCATTACGCCAACTGCTGGTCTCTTGTTATTATTATTTTTAATTTGACCAGAGAGACAGAGAAAGGGAAAATGAGAGAGCAAGCCGCCAGGTCCAGGACTCTAAACTTAGTTGGCCGTGTGGGAGTTCAGCATCTTAACTACCACACCACCTGTGCCCACCCCCCATACTTATTCTATTTGATCAATAACAACAAATAAATACAAATATTATTTCATGGCAGTCAGAGCGAGTTTAGGATTCCAGGAAGCAGCATTATTCTTTGGACCACGTTTCTAGTGTAAACCAGCACAGGAACATTAGAGGAAATGGAAAAATCAGATGAAAGAGAAACTCAAAATAAAGCTTAATACAAATTTAAATATGATTCTCAACAATGCACACTTTTCTTTAAATGTCGAGAGAGTCTCGTCTTTGTCCCAGCTTTGTGCTAACTGCTAACTTAGACACTGCTGGGCAAGACTCCTCAGGGACAGTAGAGAAGAGTAGAGAAGTCTTCAGAGAAAGTAGCTGGGAATGTCTTGTTGCTCTCCTAAAAGTGACAGGACTTATTCCTCCCTCTCAAGGGCCCCTGATTGTTGACAGTGCCTGGAACACTATAAGGGAGCTGCTGACACAAAGGGAGGTCTCGGGGCAGTCATCCTGACTGCATTCATAATTGGGAATTAACGTTCGTTGCATATTCCTTCCCAGTAAATGTGGTGTGATGGAAACAGTGTAGGATTTTGATTCAAAAGCAGTGTCTCAGAGTCCCAGCCACTGACACCTGTGTGAAGTCAGGGAAATCGCTTACCTTTTATGGGCCTGAATTTCTTGATTTCTAAAATACTGATGATGCAGATAGACACAGTGACCTTGCAGGGGTGTTGTGAGGATCACCCGACAGAGGACATGGGAAAAGCTCTGTGATCCCTGTGACGGAGTATTATGGTCATTATTAAAATCCAGTTAAGCAACTCATCCCCTCCTGTTTGCCTTTGTTGTTTCAGTGGCTCCCTGTCACACAAGCGATTTCTGTTCACCTCCGATGGTAAGGATTGTGCTTTCCTTGAGGGTTTGACATTTTAAAATTCTTCGGTAGTAGTTTAGTCCTCCATATCGCTCAGGTTACCTAGTTTGGGATTTTTTTTTTCTTCAATCTCATGGCAGCAAATTTTCTGTGATTTAAAAATATATAGCACAGGGACCAGCAGGTGCCATGGTGGTTAAGGTGCTAGACTCCCACATAGCTGACTGTGGTTTGAGTCTCAGAATTGGCAGCTTGAAAATCACACCTGGCACATGTGTGTACATGTACACAGTCCTGAGAAGAGAATGGTGGAAAAGGGACTGAGGCATGGCCACACCCTGGGGGAGTGATGTCTCACTTTTCCTTTCACTGCTTCTTTCTGTCTCTCTCCAGCAAATGCACACACCCCATGGCTAAAACCCAATATATACGTATGTGTGTATACACACACATATATACATACACATACACACACACACACACCACAATAAACCTAATTAATATTAAGCGGAAAAAAACATTAAGCAGAAAGTATTTTTCTTTATAATCAAATCTCAAACTCCAGTCAAAAAAGAATAAAAACTGAAATGATATTTATTTTAAGATAAATGTTAAATTAGAACACAAAAGACTTATAAATATGCCAATTTATTTGTAGCTACATTGAATAAAGTAATTGAATATGAGTATACCAAGTAAAGGCTTTTTGGTTCCTTTATCATGGAATATAGATTACGTAAATATTCTCCCTCGGCATAAAATGTGTCAGGGAAAACCATGTGGATATACCTTCCAGAAAAAAAGTATGACCTTTGCTTGTTCCACACCGTCTTGTGCATGGTATAGTGAAGGTCCTGTGGCTGGATTTTAGGTACAACTTACCGATCTTTGGAGGACCTAGAAGTACCTGCTTTCAGAGGGTACAGAGAGTAGGTTTATCTCTGATTCCAAGTCCTTTAAAGTGAGAAGAACTTCTGCATTCAAAAATTATATAATTATTATTCTTTAAAATTGGGTGAAGGGCACGTGCACTCAGCAGAGAGACAGAAAAAGAGAGAGGGAGAAAGCAGCCCGCCCCGCAATGGGGTGCAGTCCCACCGCAATCCCTTCTCTATTTCTCCATCCTGTGGAAATTGTAGGCACACATGGACACACACTTGGCACGTCTTGAAAGACAACGGGACAAGGATTTGAACCTACTTTGTGGGATCGAGTTCCCTTAACTACCAGGCCACAGACTAGCCCAAACCTCACCATTTTAAACCTTTAAAACCATTGCACTTTGTTGAAATCAGGATGAATTAAAAGATTAGAAAAGAAAGATCTACAGTGGGACAAAGAGGTGTCACTTACAGGGGATGTGACTTTGAGGAGGGCATTTAAAAAAAAAAAAGCAATGATTTCATGATACTACAATACAGATGTGTCAAATGCAGATCTGGGGCACCAAGAAACTGGTAATTAAACACTTGATTTAATACCAGAGTGGAGGTAAATTAGTTGAGTATTTCTAGATGGTGTGGGGTACTTTTATTTTTATTTTCCCTTTCATTTTATGTAAAGACCTGAAATGTTTTACTGTTCATTTTTCTAGATTGCAGCAGATCCTTGAGTTTGGAATCTGATGGGCAAATAAGAGCTTCTTCTTCTTGGCAGTGGGTCAGCGAAACAGGAGAACAAGTTCATTGGTCTCCTGACCATGCCCGCCTTCAGGACCAAGGTCTTTCGTGGGCTTCAGGAGATAGCAACAACCGCAAACGAGAATGGCTAGAGATAGATTTGGGCGAGAAAAAGAAAATAACAGGTACTTAACACAAATGCAAGAGCTGTTTCACAAATGCAAAATGACTTGCAGTAGAAATTATGCCCTTTTTTTTAATTTGCAAAAGGGCACGAGTATTTGTATACTCACCTAAGAGAGAAAGAAAGTGAAAAATTACCCCCGGGTGTGTGTGTGTGCGTATGTGTGTGTGCTGTGTGTGTGACCAGGCAGTAGCAATCCCTTCTCCTCCATTCTCCTGTCAGGATTTTGGGCGTATACACACATTCTCCCAGTGTGTTTTCCAAGCCACTGGGTCCAGGCCTCAAACCACACAATCAGCCAGGTAGGATCCAGTCATCTTAACCACTACACTACCTAGCTAGCCTAAAATTATGCTTTTGATTTACCCAGGTCCTTCTCTCTGAACCTCCAAGTACTTAGCATCTTTTTAAAATGTTGGGGCCAACACGTGGCATGGTGGTTAAGGTGCTAGACTGCCATGTGGCCTACCACAGTTCAAGCCCTAGATCTGGTGGTGGCTTGCTTTCTCACTTTCCCTCTCTCTCTCTCTCTGTGTGTCTCTCTGGACAAATTAAAAAATAATAATAAAATTAAGTGATTCTTTTTAAAAATGTAATAAACTTTCACATAGTCTCTGAGAGAAGAACCTGTGGACGAACCTGAGAAGAAACTGTAGGTTGGGAATATGGATGTATGAATTAGAGAGGTGATCTCTCAGTAGTGAGACCTTTTTACGGTGCATTGCCAGTGTGAAAACACTCACTCATGAACACTGTCTAAATGCAACTACAAGAGGTTGGCCTGTAAGACGAGTCAAGATTGTGAATGAAGGGAGAGCAAAAATGAAGCCTAAAATTATAATACATATCGTATTTTTAAAACTAACCTGTAAATATTATTTTCTTAAAAGGAATTAGGACTACAGGATCCACACAGTCAAATTTCAACTTTTATGTTAAGAGTTTCATGATGAGCTTCAAAAACAGCAACTCCAAGTGGAGGACCTATAAAGGAGTTACAAAAACTGAAGAAAAGGTAAGAAAACCTCTGGAAAAGAACTGAGTAGAAGAGTAGGTCTCCACTTAGTTTTACCAGTGTGTTTGTAGTAAATATTTTATTAATAAAAGACAACGATGTGGATTTCTTGAGCATGCAAAAATAAGAAATGTGTCAATAAAAACCTTAAAAGGACCAGCCAGTGGCATGGTGATTAAGGCAACTAGATCCCACATGACTGACTGCTCAGTTTGAGTCCTAGATCCAGCAGCTTGAAAAACACATTGGGTAGGACCAGTAGTTGGCATAATGGTTACATCACTGGACTCCCACATAGTCAACTGTGATTCGAGTCCCAGACCTGGTGGCTTAAAACTCATGCTAGGTGCCTGTGTATGTGTGTCCAAAATCCTGAGAGGAGAATGGAGGAGAAGGGATTGTGGCATCGACTTCCCCCTAGGGGGTGATTTCTTGCTTTCTGTCTCTATTTCTCCAGCGAGTGTACACACCTTATAGTAAATATCTCTCTAAAGAAAAAAAAACAAAAATGGACACTGTGTGTGGGTGTGTGTGTGTGTGTGTGGGTGTGTGTGTAATACCCAACATCCAGAGAGGAGAGTGGAGGAGAAAGGATTGTGGTGTGGCCATTACCCCTGGGGGGGTGATTTCTCACTTTCCAGTGAGCATATATACCCTATAGAGAAAATAACAAAATAAAAAAATTAGTAAAAACTTTACAAAAATTTTGTGATTTGATTTTTTTTACTTCAGCAATGAGGTATTCATGTTTTTTTTTTGTTTTCCTTCTTTTTTTTTTTTTTTTAAAGTTTCCAGAGGGCATATGTGCTTGCCAGAGAGAGAGCAGGAGAGAGATCGAAAACTCCCCCCAGTGGGATATAGTAATGCTGCAATCCCTTCTCCACCCTGTTGGGATTTGGGACATGCATGCACACATTCCAGGCATGCTTTTCAAGCTGCCGGGGTTGGGATTCAACTACAGTCAGCCATGTGCAATCTGGCTTCTTTAACCACTAAACTACAGCACCAGTCCAGTACAATTTTTCTTGAGAAGTAAAAGTTGGTAATTTGAATGTTGCTTCAGTATAAGCATGGTGGGTGTCAGAGTTGGCAGTCTGTAGGAAGACACTGCTAATGGTAGTGAGAATTAGGAAGGGGATGGAAAAAGTGAGAACTGAAGGCTCTGCTCTTGAGCTTACTCATCCGTAGCACTACATTAATGGGGAAATATCAAGATCAAAGAATGCAACAGAGCAATTTTAACTACTTCATCGAAAATGTCCTTTAAAACAGTGAACAGATTAGCAACATCACCTTTGTTAGATAAGTTGGCCTTTGTTTGCAAAACCTTGTATCTCCAATGTCAAGAGTAGCTACAAACATCAACATAGAATCCTTGCTTTGGTTTCATATAACCAGGTATGAATGGGCTAATAGAGACCTAAAAACAATTGAATGGAATCTTTAGATAAAAGTAATTTCTTCCCACAGGTATTTCAGGGTAACTCCAACTTTCGGGACCCAGTGCAGAACAATTTTATCCCTCCCATTGTGGCCAGATACGTGCGAGTTGTCCCCCAGACGTGGCACCAGAGGATAGCCTTGAAAGTGGAGCTCATTGGTTGCCAGATTACACAAGGTAGGGTTCAGGGCCAGTCACTGAGTTACTCCATTCCAGTCTCCTTTCATAGATCGCTGTTACTCATGTGGCTTTTCCAACATCCCTGCTTCTCTCAGGTAATGATTCACTTATGTGGCACAAAACAAGTTCAAACACTGCTATTTCAACTGAGAGAAGATGAGACAATGACAAATCCTGTCTCGTCAGAAGAAATGCCCACAGATAGAGCAATTACTGTTTTGTGGTTTCATAAGGAACATAACTATACCCCACCCAATATAATAGTAACTTCAACCCAATTAATCTTCTTCGTCTTGTGAATGGTGGAGGCAAATGGTCCAGAGGTACTTGCACATATGTAAAATTATGTGTGTCTACAGCAGTCTGTTGCAATATTTTTTTTAAAAAAATAATTATTTATTTTATTTATTCATTCATTTATTTTAATATGACCAGAGAGAGACACACACACACACACACACACACACACACGGGGCGCAGGTGGGGGGTGGGGGGAGGAAGGAAAGCGAGAAAGCAAGCTACCAGGTCCAGGACTTGAACCATGGTCGGCCATGTGGGAGTATCCAGCACCTTAACCACCATGCCACCTGGTGGTCCCTCTATTGCAATATTCTTAGGGGGAAAAAAGATCAGAAACAAGCTTATGTGTACTTTAAACACAAGGTAAATATTTTATGTAAAAATAAAATGATAGCACATCTGTGTAATGGAATACTCTGTGACCATAAATAAGAATGTGTTAGTAATACAGAAAGCTCTTTAAGATACAGTGACAACTTAAATAAGCAAGGTAGAGAACAGTCTGTCTACTATTTGTGTAAACTGGGATAAACAAAATTTACATGAATTTATTCCAAGTTCACTTCCCAGGAGAGAGAGGGACAGAAAGTGAGAAAGCACTGCTCTCGGGGGCTGGCCACGCCACAGCCCCTTCTTCTCCATTCTCCTCTTGGGATTTTGGGCACACACTTGCATGTGCCTGGCATGTTTTTCAAGTTGCTTGGTCTAGGACTCAAACCATGGGATTTAGCCACTTTAACTTCTACATTCTCTGCTGGTTCTGAACATTTTTAGAAAAAATGCCAAGAATATAATTTGGCTTCCTGTGGAGAAGGAACAGATGTAGAATGGAGACAGTCCATTCTATACCCCTTTTTGTACTTTGTGATTTTTTTTTTTTGAGAGGTTTTCACTATAGGGCGCGTGCGCTTGCCAGACAGACAGAGAGAGATATAGGGAGAGAAAGCGAGAAATCACCCCCCAGGGGGGATGGTCACGCCGCAATCCCTTCTCCTCCATTCTCCTCTCGGGATCTTGGGCACGCACACACACGCACCTGGCATGAGTTTTAAGCCACAGGGTCTGGGACATGAACTGCGGTCGACTATGTGGGAGTCCAGCGACATAGCCATTACGCTAACTGCTGGTTCCCTACTTTGTGATGTTTTAAAAAGTTTATTTATTTCATAAGAATGAGAGAAAGAGAAGCAAAGTTATAGGTACATCCAGGGGATTTTCACACCACAGTCCATGCTCAATCTCAGCTGACCCAGATCATGGACATGCACACACATGTGCCGCCAATGTGCTCAGAGAGGTCCCAGGACACAAACCCAGGACTTCTCCCAAGGATCTATCTCATGTGGGTTCAGTTGCATGACTCTGTGCTCACACCTGGCCCCTATAACTTTGTGAATTTTAACATGTACGTGTAGTAATCAAGTAATGAACATTAAACATGTATTTATTTTTTCAGAATAGAAAATAATTTGCATATTGATTTGGTAAAATCTGGAAAGATTAGAAAAATATAAATAAGAAAATTATAATCCTCCAGCCTCCATAGATGATAACAATATTCCGCTGTATCCAGACAACTATATTTATATTTCTGACTATAGGACAAATATGGTAGTACACAATATATTTTGTTCTGTAGCATCTATTTTTATTTAACATTGTGTTGTATTTCTAGTTATTAATGGTAGAAAAACACAAGTATTTCCCTCTTTTTAGTATTTTTTAGAATGTGGATATAATGTAGTTAATCATCCTCTACTCTTGGGTTTTAAGTTGTTAGACCCAAATTTTCACTCTTACAAATAACACTGCCATTATTACATGAATCTTATTCCATCTCATTTTCTTTTCCTCCTTTCATGAACTACATATTTCTATCCCCGATCATCCCTTTATTTTTCTTCCCAGGGATCACAGAAAAGAAAGGAGAATTGCAGATATTTCCCCTTTCCTTTCAGTTTCTACTCACCTGGGCTGGCTTCAGGGCTGTTAAAGTGAATCCTGTTGTAAAGCTGAAGGAGTTGTAGGACAACAAGGTGTGCATTCCGCACAGAGTAGAAATACTGTTTGAGGGGACCAGCAGTTAGCATAATGGCTATGTCGCTGGACTCCCATGTAGTTGACCACAGTTTGCGTCCCGGACCCAGTGGCTTAAAACTCACGCCGGGCGCATGTGCGTGCGTGCCCAAGATCCTGAGAGGAGAATGGATTGTGGTGTGGCCATCCTCCCTGGGTGGTGATTTCTCACTTTCTGTCTCTCTGTCTCTCTCTCTCTGTCTGGCGAGCGCATGTGCCCTATAGCGAAAACCTCTCCATAAATAAATAAATAAATAAATAAAAAGAAATACTGTTTGAGGTCATGAGGCTGTGTTTCCTCTCAGTCTACAGCTCTAAGGCTCTGAACAAGCATCCCCGGCTTCTCCAGGTCTACTTTACTGTACAGTTTGAACCCACTCACTATCTTGGGAAACTGGTTGCTTGAACCAAGATCGACACTCTCTCTGTCATGAAATCACTTACCTGTCTTAAGAGTTCCTAGCTGGGGTGGTCCTCTTTAAAACTTTCCCTTGAATTTGGATTTTTGGAGTCTTTTATGGGCCAAGCAACAAGCTCAGAGTTCATGTTAACCCCTGAGGAGAACTGGAAACTGCTTTGGGGGCAGGCAGGGAGGGAAGGTTACTTTTATTTACCCAAACTTCAGCTAGGATGTTGAATCCTCTCCTTTTGCTTTCCAATATCAGTAAATGCTTAGCATGTATTTGTTTTCCCCATTTATCAAACACATTTGAATACTTTTCAAATTAATGTTCAGTGTTAGGTTATGAAATTGGGTTACCGATCACTTATGCTGTAATATGTTAACTTTCTCCCTTCTTTAGGAATAAACATTATAACCGTGGCTGTTCCACTGGTGCTCCTCGTGGTCCTGTTACTTGCCGGAATGGGAATCTTCGCAGCCTTTAAAAAGTATGTGACTTTACATGTTTACGTTTCTTTTCTAACCATGTGAATGGTACATGAAATTTACTGTTTAGGTACTCATGTGTGAAAAAGCAGCATGACTTCTTTGAAGAGGAAATGTTATATCTTAAACACAAGTTGGGTGGCAGTAGAAGCTATCAAGTATTACTTTATAGGCAGTTCTTGTCATTTGAAACCTCCCAGTGAAGACATAACCGAGGAGCATTGTTGAAAGGTGTCAGAGAACTCAGATACTCCTTTTGAAATTGTCACATGTCATTTCACAATGGGTTACATTCTGAGGAATGTGTCACTAGGCAGTTTTGTTGTTGTGCAGTCATCGTAGGATGACTCACAAATCTAGATGGAATACCCACTACATACCTGGGCTATATAGGGCAGCCTGTGCCTCCTTACTTGAGACCACCATTGTAGGCAGAGTCTGTCATTAACCAGAACGTCGTTTTGTACTGCACGAATGCATCCCCCTTCCTCGCACACGTAGAGTGGAAAAAATATTAGAACAGTGATCAAGAGGCCTGTGTTCTCCTCCTGTCTGTCTCCCCAGGCTTCAGTTTTCTCATATATAAAATAAAGGTCTTGGAACCAGCAGTTAGTGTAATGGCTATGTTGCTGGACTCCCATGTAGTCGACTGTGGTTCGCATCCCGGACCCGGTGGCTTAAAACTCACACCAGGCGCACGTGCGTGCGTGCCCAAGATCCCGAGAGAATGGAGGAGAAGGGATTGTGGTGTGGCCATCCTCCCTGGGGGATGATTTCTCACTTTCTGTCTCTCTGTCTCTCTCTGTCTGGCTGGCAAGCACACGTGCCCTATTGCCAAAACCTCTCAAAAAAAATAAAAAGAAAGGTCTTTAGCCAGATAAGTGCTGAGTCTCTTCCAGAACCAAAAACTCCAAATTTACTGTGACAAATATTAGAAGAAGCTACACAAAAAATGGAAAAGCATTATTTATTTTAAACAGCTTCTGAACTTATAAATGTGTCTATTAGTGCAAACAGAATGAAACATTTTCTGGCAAAAGTGAAAGAGTGCAAAATCTCTGATTTTTAAGCTTCAGGCAGGCAGTCATGAGTTAAAGCTTGTTTTAGCTTCCTGTGTTTATGTTAAATGCTTTTTTTTTTTAAGAGAGGTTTTTGCTATAGGGTGTGTGCACTTGCCTGAGAGACAGAGAAAGAAAGCAAGAAATCACCTGGCGGGGGGGGGGGGGGCCACCGCCCACCCTTCTCCACCATTCTCCTCTCGGGATCTTGAGCACACATGCACATGCACCCAGCATGAGTTTAAGCTGCCGGTTCCAGGACTCGCACCACGGTTGACTACGTGGCAGTCCAGTGACATAACCATTATGCCATTTGCTGGTCCCTATGTTAAATGCTTTTAAAGACAACTACAGTTTTGACCTAAGTGTAATAAATAGAAATGAAATGAGAGCACATGGTCATGAGGAATTACTTCAGATTTTGTTGACTGCATGAGTGAATTAGAAAATAAAATAATAAGGCATAACAAAATTAGTTCACATTCTTCTAGTGAAAATATTATGACCATTATTAAAAGTGAGATAAATTTATGTACAATCGTATACATTCCTATGATTTTGTAAGCACATGGCAGTTGCCATTTCATTTAATCCTCCACCAGCCCTGGGAGGTAAGACCTCTTTTTTTTTTTAAATATTTATTGTATTTTATTTATTCATTCATTTATTTTTCAATTTGACCAGAAAGAGACAGAGGGTGAGAGTGAGAGAGAGAGGAAGTGAGAAAGCAAGCCACCAGATTCAGGACTTGAACCCTGGTCGACCATGTGGGAGTGTCCAGCGCCTTAACCACCATGCCACCTGCTGGTCCCCAAGGGAGGTAAGACCTCTTACAAGCCTCATATTACATAGAAAAAGATAAATTAGCTTATAAATATTTAATAGGGGTACCAGCAGGTGGCGTGGTGGTTAAGGCACTGGAAACTCCCACATGGCCAGCCAGGGTTTGAGTCCTGAATCTGGTGGCTTGCTTTCTCACTTCCTCTCTCTCTCACGCTCATCTTCTGTCTCTCTCTGGTCAAATTAAAAAATAAATGAATGAATAAATAAAATAAGATAATTATAAAAAAGAAATCTCTAAAGTTTCCTTTAAAAAAATATCTAATAGGACTTTTTGTCTTGATAGGTGGAAGAAGAAAGGAAATCCTTATGGATCAGCTGATGCTCAGAAAATGGGTTGGTTGAAAATTCTATCTACAATTTTATTATTTTTTGCTTGTTTGTTTATTCATTTGTTTCTTTCAAGAAAGAGAGAAAGAGAAAGGAGAAACAGGCACCCCCATATGGTCCTCATGCTGCCATCCCCCAAACCTCAGCCAGCCTAAATTATGAGCATGGGTGTATGTGTACCCAATGTACAGAAGAATACAAACCAGGGACCTTCCCATGGGGATCCAGTTGTGTTACCACTGCACCACCATCTGGTACGGTTTCATTCTTATCTTTAAGGAATAGAATCTACTGATTGAAGCATAAGTAGGCCAGTGGCCTACATCTGTATGGTTACAAAAAGTCCAAGTTCTATAGTCCTTGAGTTAGCAAACCTACAGGAAGGAATTTGTTGTATTTTTTTTTAAGTCTTTTTGCTATAGGGTATGTATGCTCACCAGAGACAGAGAGAGAATGTGAGAATCATCCTCTGGCGGGGATGACCATGCCACAGTTCTTTCTCCTCCAGTGTCCTCTTGGGATTTTGTGCATGCACGCACATGAATCCGGCATGATTTTTCAAGTCACTGGGTCCTGGATTAAAACAATGTAGTCGACCATGTGGGATCCAGCACCTTAACTGCCAAGCCACCAGTTGGCCCTACTGTATCCTATTTTCATTCAGAATTTCATGGCCACTTTACCTTTGTTCATCATCATCCCCATCATTTGTGATTCACTGGAGCTGAGTCCACCACACTGGCATCAAGGGGAAGTTAAAGCTCCACTGGTGAATGATGAATGTAGCTTTGTGCTTTCCACATCTGCCAGCTTCCACTGTGTCTTGCACTCTGAGAAAGGGAGGAAACACCAGGCAGGGCATATGTGCATGCTTCAGAGACTCCTGAGGACACGGGCTGCTCCAGCAGAGTTTGCTGTGGTTCATAGACAGGGCAGCAAGGCAGGACCCCTGGGAAACGTCGGAGGCCACCAGGACTCCCTCTCCGCAGGGTCTGAATGCCAGCTGTGCTGCCTCCTCTAAGTCAGAAAAGCTGTGTCACTGCAGATTATAGAAAAAGCACGTCCAGATGGTCTCAAACAGGGATAATCTGGAACCTGATGGGTATACTGTTTTTTCATTTTTTGTTTTTCTTTTTCAATTTTTTGCCATATGATGCATACACTTGCCAGAGAAAGACAGAGGAAGGAAAGTGAGAAATCACTCCCTGGGGGAATGGCCATTCTGCACTTCCTTCTCCTCGACTCTCTTCTTGGGATTTGAGCACGTGCCCAGTGTGTTTTTCCAGTGACTGGGTCTGGGACTTGAGCCAAAGTCAACCATGTGTGATTCAGCGCCTTAACCACCCTGCCACCGTCTGGCCGATGGGTACATTGTTTTAAGGCACAGCAGACACAGGCTTGTCATAGTGTTTGGCATTGTTGGCAATGACCTCCACGTGCTGTCCTCAGCACTTAGACTTGTAGAGCTATGGCTGAGTATCACCATCAGCTGTGAAGAGACTGGCCTTTGACCCATTGAGGAACCGTCACGGGTACATGCATTACCTTTCCGATACATTGGTCTATTTCATGCTATCCTTATTCCAGGCTGTTGGAAGCAAATGAAATACCCCTTTATCCGACATCACTCAGCCGAGTTTACCATCAGCTATGATAATGAGAAGGAGATGACACAAAAGTTAGATCTCATCACGAGTGACATGGCAGGTAAGTGTCAGTTCTCTGGGACTGTGCTATTAATTGGGAGGGGTTGCATGTGGAAAAGCACGACAGGAGGAAAAAAAGGACTAAAATCATTTGTTTAAATAGGGTTCAGTAAGTCAGAAATGCATTGTTTTTTCTGCACTCTGCACAGTTACAAACTGACACTGTAAGATTTGCTCAAAAGCCTTCTTCAGCTGAGTCTCTTGTACCTGCAGGGGATAGAATGACATCCATAGTGATGGCCTTGAAGAACTGCTCGTATCTGGAAGCCATTAATCTATTTTTGCTACCAACGTTTTTATTAAGGCACTGGGAAAGGACTGAACAGATTAATTCAATACAGCTCCTGCCTTTGAGAAAAAGGAGGCAGGAGCTGGAGGAACTCTTCCAGGGTTAAAATTACTGCAGTGGGGCCAGCAAGTGGTGGTTGAGGCACTGGACTCACATGGCTGACCAAGGTTTAAGCCTCCGACCTTGCAGCTTTCTCTCGCTGTTTCTCTCTGTGTCTTATTGATGAAAGCACATGCCTTATAGTAAAACTTTAAATAATAATAACAATAATAATAAATAACATAAAATAAATCTTTTTTTTTTTTTTTTTATAGATTGCATGTGTTCACCTCACAGAGAAACAGAGATAGTGAGAAGAAAAGTGAGAAATCACCCCCAGGGGAGGATGGTCACATAAAAATCTCTTCTTGTCCATTCTCCTCCCAAAAAGCTAGGCACACACACATGCTGTGTGCCTGGCATGATTTTCAAACCACCATATCTGGGATTTGAACCGTGGTCAGCCACATGGGAGTCCAGCAACATAACTGCTAGCTATGCCATGTGCTCCTCCCAAAATTAAATAATTAGTTCTTTTTTTTTTTTTTTAAATAGTCTTAGTCTCTTCGACAAGCCCACATGGAGTGTCGAACTTCCCAAACTATCTTTGGGAAATGATTCATCTTTTGCTTTTTGTTTCTTTTTAAAAATTTCTAATCCATCATAGATAAATACTTTTATAAAATATAACAGAAATTACTGCTAATACTGAAATTTTCAAGAAGGCATACAAAACACAAAGCCCTAATTTTCTAATAGATTCAGCTGACAGAAAATTATTCTCAAATGTCTAACCCCACGCCTTTTTTTGAGAGATTTTTGCTATAGGGCACAGGTGCTCATGAGAGAGAGAGAGAGACAGACAGAAAACGAGAAATCACCCCACAGAGAGAAAGGCCATCCTACAAACCCTTCTCCTCCATTCTCCCCTTGGGATTTTGGACATGCATGCACACAAGCTGGTCTAAGTTTCAAGCCACTGGATCCAGGACTTGAACTGCGGTCAGCCGTATGAGAGTCCAGCACCTTAACTACTATGCGATATGCTAGCCCCTTGCCTTACCCTTTTAAACATGTAGTCGTAATTTCTATACTTGCCTCTTTGCAAAGCGATCACAAGCAGTTCTCAGGTAAGTAGGCTCAGGTAAATACACCAAGTAGCCCTGTGCTGGCTTCTCACTCCTCATAGGTGAAACATAGGCCTCACCTGGGAGTTTGTTAGAAATGCAGGCTTTCTGGCCAGGCCCTGAGCTTATTGAACCAGAGGATCCCAGGTGTTGCATGTGCACATCAGTGTTGAGAGGTGCCAGCGTAATGACTGCTTGAACCAATTCATGGACAAGGAGCGCATCTCTCCACGCAGCATCCATCTTGTTCCTTGGGAACGATGTGAGGGAGACCCTCTTTTCTGTTCTCTTCTTCCTTTCTTACTCGCTCTCATTTGTATGTGAATGATCCTGCTCAGGCTCCTGGGATGTGCTAAGCCCCAATTCTTGTTTGCCCTGCCCACCTGTAGTCTTCCCTCTAAGCAGTCTCACCCACTCCTGGAGCTTCCGGCCCAGCCCTTCCTGGCATTTTGTCAGGCTGCCCCTCAGGAGAGATTTCCCACCCGTCACCACTCTGTCAGGCGTTCTCAGCCTACTGGAAGCCTCCCCTTGCATGTGGCACCACTTTCTCAGTGTGTCCCAAAGTCGCACCATGTCCTAAGCCTCACCGCGCGTGCTCTGTGCCCCTTCCCTCTCTGTGGCTTGCTGACTGCACATTCTAGTCATCCAGGCTTAACCTCTGAGAGGGGTCCTTTCCACCCCTCTTTCCTCACACCTCACCTATCGCTGGTAACAAATTCCTGTGATAACTGTCCCCACTGTGGCTTTTCCACTCCCTACTCTGGTACCTTTCTGTGTCATTTCCTTTTGTTATTTATTTATTCTTTAACTTGGATCTACATTTTATGCTGAGTTTATTCTCATGCCATAAGTTTTTGTTTCTTCAGTTTGTTCTGGGATATCTTTTTCTTCTGTGCAACTTCCTCTTCTGGTTTAGGAACAGTTTGCTCCTTTGCAGTGAGGATCATCCCCATGTGCTAGGGGGAGTTCATGTGTGGGTTAATCTGACCAAGAGCTCTGTAAAATACAATGGCATGTCTTGGGTGCCTTGTTCACCTGAATGTGCTCGGTGACCAGACAGTTTTCATCTAAACCTTAAGTTCAGCATTCATCTGCATTTTTAAGCCTGTGCAGCAAAAATTTAGCACTTTTTTTTCTGGCCGTAGGCACTTGACATAGAGAGAGATGGAAATGGGGTGACGGCTATGCTGCAATCCTTTCTCCTCTATTGTCCCCCTGTTACTTGGGACACACAGGCACACATGCCCGGCACAATTTTTAAGCCGTCAGATCCATACTTGATCCACGGTCAGCCAGGTGGGAATCCATCAGCTTAACCACTACACCACCAGCTGCCCCAAATTTAGCACATTTTCGGACCACCGACCCTGTGTCCAGCCCCACTGTTTGGCCTGGGAACACCTACCAACTCCGCAGTTGTAACGGCTACATGCTTCTGTAAAGTGACATCTTTCAAACACCTGGTGGCTTTTCGGATATGCATGCCCTTGGTGGCCTGGGCAATGTCATGGGTGTTCTTACAGTGAACATGAAGACTTGAACCTCCTGATTTACCTGACTTTGTGGGTTCTCTGGATCAAGTGAATAGAAAACCATTTTCAGTGATCACCTTAGGCAGCTTTACAAGAAGAGGTATTTACTTCCTACTTTCTGATCTTTCCTGCTTCCCTCTGCCTCCACAGTCACCTCTAACTGCCAATCTGTAGGTTTCTAGTGAATGAAACCAGACTTCCTAACAAGGCAGCCCAGTGCCTCCCATGAGCTGACAGCTGGTTAACAGCACACTCACGCGTGTGTATTCAAACTGGCTCCACTGCCTGCAAGCTATGTGATCTGGGAAACGTGGCTTAGTCTCTCTCTGCTTTGTTTTCCCATTTGTAAAACAGAATAATCGTCTCGACCTCTTGGGATTTATTTTAGATTGATTAATATCGTGCGGTCTTAGAATACTGTGCCTGGCACAGGGTTAAGGAGCTCAATACATCAGGGCCTCATTGCCCTCACCAGGCCCTGACCTACGTTTTAGTCTTTGTATTCCATTAAAAAACTACTCTCTGAAATTCTGGCCTTTACCCCTTTCTTCCAAGTGTTAGCTCCACTTCCAACATCTAGCATTTCAAGAGACAGTTTATAAGACGCTTTCCCCATGGTGTGTTTTCTTCCCCTATGCCCCAGGGTTAAATGTAACAGTTCTCTTGGGACCAGCAGTTAGCGTAATGGCTATGTCGCTGGCCTCCCACGTAGACGACTGCTGTTAGCGTCCCGGACCCGGTGGCTTAAAACTCACGCCAGGCGCGTGTGTGTGTGCCCAAGATCCCGAGAGAAGAATGGAGAAGAAGGGATTGCAGCATGACCATCCCCCCTGGGGGGTGATTTTTCGCTTTCTGTCTGTCTCTGGCGAACGCACTGCGCCCTATAGCGAAAACCTCTCCCCCGCCCCCCCCCCATAGTAACAGTTCTCTTCTGTGCTTCCTAGAGCAGGCAGTGGGGTTCCAAGAGCCTGTGTGTGGCATCTCTGACCCTCGTGCCTGGGACACGCAGGGGCACCGCGTGTGGAGTCGGTTCCCCACGACCTCAAGCCGAGCACCCCTCTGAATAGCCGGCTTCTCCAGGTCATTGGGGCACACCTGATGCGGCTTCTTTCTACTCGTTTGGTTTCAGATTACCAGCAGCCTCTCATGATTGGCACCGGGACAGTCACGAGGAAGGGCTCCACCTTCCGGCCCATGGACACGGACGCGGACGCGGCTGGGACGAACGCGGAGTCTGGCGGCCACTACGACTGCCCCCCGCGCGCCGGCCTCCCAGAGTACGGCTACCGCGTCCCCGGGCCCCGGCCCGCACACAAGCATTCGCTTTCTTCGGGCGCCTGTCCTGGTTCCGCTGGCACCGGAGCAGGCACCGAGAGCACAGACTATCAAATGCCGCACAGCACCCATCCCGCGGACGGGGGCTACGACCAGCCCAAAGGCGCCCAGGGCAGAGACCCCGACTCGCAGAAGGCACAGCTGAGGCCAGGGACGAATGATGGTTATTCGGCCCCCAGAGACTGCCTCAGACCCCTCAACCAGACAGCCATGACTGCGCTTCTGTGAACCGTGTGAAAGTAGCCTGCCGTGGTACTCGCTGTCGGGCGCTGGCGTTGCCGTCATGTTGTGTGTGCGGGTGAGAGTATAGGATCCTAGAGACACTTCTACTGTTTACAAAATCGTGCAGCTGGTTTTGTTCTGCCCCTCAGGGCGAGAGTCTGTTAGGTTTGGGGGTGGGGGGCTAGAAAAAGGAAAATTTTCAGATGGCATTTTTCATTTATGTAACTGTGATACTGAACTGCTCTGGTGTAAAATGTGCAATCTGTCGTGTTTAACAGGGAGTGAAATAACTTAAGCTTGCTTTCTCAGAATTCTGCACAGAGGTTAGGGGGGCAAGGGCAGCTGATGCAAAAACCGTATGTCATAGTGTGTTCATCTTTCTCGGTATATTTTATTATCTGATACTGTGTTAGCAGCAGGTCTGTTTAAAGTTAGTCTTGTTACTGCGGTTCGTTTCCTTTCCTTCATAGCTAGAACTAAAGGCCTTTTTGACATTCTCCTGGAAGAAATGAAATCACTTGAAACATGGAAAGCACTCCAGGTGGTTGGCTGGTGAGCCATTGTGATCGTAGATGAAAAAAAAACAATACTTCAACACGTGCCCATTTCCTCAGACTCACTTGGGATGGGGAGGGAAAGTGGTCCGGTCTGGGCAGCCTCAGGCCCATAGCCTGCAGGGGACTGGGTGCTCTAGGCCTGAGTGAATGGGCTGTCCTTAGGAAGCGGCCTTCTCTGTTGGCTTCCTCCTGTCTCAGGCCTGGCAGATACCATGCAGCCTTCACGTGCACATCTGCCTCTCCAGCCTGTCCGCATAGCCAAATACTGAGACTTGCAGACAACCAAAACCGTCTTCTCAGCAAACTGAAATAAAGGTGGCACAGGAACTGCAGCCTCAATTACGTGTCAGATGTCTGTGCCTCAGAAGAAAAATATTGCTGAGGTCAGAAGCCTATACTTTTTGTGACATTTTGAGCACATTTTAGTGACTTCCGTTGTCCCCTAAAAAAATGTTACTTGAAATGGGTTTTTATAAAATAACTGAGGCCAAGGGTAGTGCTTTTCTACTGAAATGCTTGGGAACCGAACCAATATTGTCAGAAACAATTTTCCTCTCAAGTGTATGTTTGACCCTAGAATAGCCCAGACCTCAGCTGTACCTCATGTTCAGTGATTTTTTTCGTGAGTATGCTTTTGAGTTAACTGTGGGAGGATTTTAACCTCTTTTGCCAAAGAGGAGAGTGTGCATGTGTATGTTTTTATAGAAAATATGGACCAAAAGACCCTTTCCCTAAATAATGTTTTATAATTCTATTCGTATGGTTATTACTTCTGTGGAACGTATGTATGTTAAGACAGTGGAAGTGTTGGAAGGTCATGACAATCTGATGGTTATTGTGGAGGGCACACTGTTTACTTTGTGGAGTTTACATGATTTTATGTGCATACTAATTGTAATAAACTGTGCCAGATCAGACCACCCATGTCATTGGTGCCCACATACTGAGCTGTCGAAGGCTTAGACTCCATATAAGGGCAGGTACAATGGAACCTTGGCTCTGTGGCATCAGATAGGTCTTGGGTCCAGACCTTGATCGGCCATAAAACAGGTGAGGAAGCTTTGACTCATTATATATTACCGAGACTCCATTTCCTTATGTTTGAAAATGGTGTGAATGTGCCTTCTTCCTCCAAAGCTTCCTGATATGAATTAATTGGGATAATATGTATCCAAGTATTTATTCTATAATAGGCCCTTTTTCTTCTCTAACCCAGGCCTTCAGTAGGCTCTACAGCATTTTCACATTGAAGTATTAGTGCATAAGAGCACACTTCCTTCTACAACCCTCGACAATAGAACTATCCTCATACATCATCTTTCTTCCCCATACTCATAGTCTGATCATGACAAAGGAAAAGAGTAGGACTTTGTTTTGGAACACTTCCTCAGGGTAGCCTGGCCGTGTAGATGAGGGTGGAGAAGTGGAAAAGTCTAATAAACCCTACATGGCTAATCATAAACTAGCAGATGGCAGTAGAAAAATATGTCTTTTTCTTCCACTATTTTGCAACAATTGTCCATATTGAAAAAGACATGGGTAAGAGCATTCTAATTATCTGGTTTCTTCTACATTATCAAATCCTCCTGGTAGGCAGCGGCTATATTTCCACTTCTTACAACTGACTGAAATTTCTGCTCTGACAAGACTACATGGACACAGAGGCAGATGAAATTTTACTCTGGACTTTATTACTATTATTTAAACTTTCATTAGCATTTATAACAGAAAATAGCTAGAAAACATCTAAGAATAGTCTATGTTTATTTTGCACTACTTAGCAGGAAACTAAGTCACATATCAAAGGCACAGATGTGGACATAATGAGTAACTATGAGACCTTTCCTAATATTTTCGCTGACCAAACACGATAGTCCAGGGGTGACCACCAGGTTAGCTGCTATTCCTAAAATGCTCATCTCACATTCATCCATCTACAAATCATTAATGAGGCTCTTAAGACAGTGTGCACCCCGTACTTACTCGGGCTGAGAGAGCCTTGAGATTCCTAGAGACCTGGAAGCAGCTGAATCCATGGATGGGAAGCTGGGGCTGAACACATCGCTTACACCAACCTGCTAATATATTCTGCCCCCAACACAGCCTATCAGCTCACAGCTATGTGTTCACTGCCCATTTCGGCTTTCTCATTCCCTACTCCCAGTCCCACTCCCATCTTCCTGTTCCAGGAAGGAATTCCCTGACAAGTTTTAAAGAGTTTTGCTCCGTCATTGGTATTGTGCAATTTTAATATTCTACAGTGTGTGCAGCTCTGAATCCATTTGTGTTCATATTGCTTAGATCTTAGGATTCATCTTTATTTGCGATTACAATTTTTCAGTCATCTTTTCTTTATCCCCTCCTGGAATTCCTGTTACATGTTCATTAGAGCTTCTCATTCTATCCCCCAAGTCTCTTAATCCCTCTTATTTTCTAGCTCTTTATCTCTCTGTGCTGCATTCTGGGTAAATTCCTGAAAGGCAATATGGCATAGTGATTGAGTGCACAGACTGATGAGAAACCAGAGCTAAAACTACCCTCAACCATGGTGACTATGACAGTTGGGAACACCTAGAGAGGACACTTTCCCAAATGTCACAAATATCCTTCTTGCACTCCTGCTTCCTAAGGAACACGAGGACAGTATGTACACAGCAAGAGGTCATTTTATTCCATAAGTATTTGCCAGGGGGTGGAGGGGAATGCTGTAGTTTTAATCATCTGGAAATCTACTGTGTAACTTTAGGAGTTCTTGCATTCTATAGTCAACAATATAAGTGTTTTTCAGGAAATTCAAATCCAGCTCAATCATTTTTAAAAACCAAAACCATATCAAGCCTAGGCTATATCAAGCCTTGTACCATTTAAGAAAGATCAAAATAGTTATTGGGAAGGAAGATTGAAAATTCAACAATTTACCTTTTCCTTCCTTGTGGCCTATTAAAATGAAAGGAATGGATTTGAGTCCTGGCCCTGACATATATTAGCTGTGTGATCCTGAGCAAATGATAACAATTTTTTCCAGTCTTCAATCTATTTATCCTCAAAAAAATACAGTTTTAATTTGATGACCTTCAAAAGCCTTCCAACTTGAAAATGATCACACTTGGAACCTGCTGCCCCCTGCTGGCACTTTACCAAATTGCAAGTTCTCCATTCAAAAACAGAACCAAAATTTTGTCTTTTTAATTTTCCTTCCTACAAATCTGTTCATCTGTCTTCCTAGATGCCAGAGGTTTTTCTCACAACCAAATATCCTCTTAAAACAAGCCTATTCTGTTCAAATCTTCCTGATTTTTGAGTTTTGTTGCAATGTCCAACCGAGATGATGGATTTTTATAATTTGGTGGTTCTATCAACTTTTGCTTTATATATTTTGAGGCTGTTTTAAATGGATATATATAAGATTAGAATAAATCTTGCAGCCACTTTTTTCTTTAAGAATTGTAACCTGGGACCAGCAGTTAGCGTAATGGCTATGTCGCTGGACTCCCACGTAGTCGACTGCTGTTTGTGTCCCGGACCCGGTGGCTTAAAACTCACGCCGGGCGCGTGTGCATGGTGCCCAAGATCCCGAGAGGAGAATGGAGGAGAAGGAATTGTGGCATGGCCATCCCCCCTGGGGGGTGATTTCTCACTTTCTGTCTCTCTGTCTCTGTCTGGCGAGTGCACATGCCCTATAGCAAAAACCTCTCAAAAAACAAAAAAATTGAAGTAAGAGTATTTTTTTCATAGTGTCTTGACACAGTCTTATAAAGGTTCTTAACAAAGTGCAAGCCGCTTATGTCGCTGGACTCCCACGTAGTCGACGGCTGTTTGTGTCCCGGACCCGGTGGCTTAAAACTCACGCCGGGCGCGTGTGCATGGTGCCCAAGATCCCGAGAGGAGAATGGAGGAGAAGGAATTGTGGCATGGCCATCCCCCCTGGGGGGTGATTTCTCACTTTCTGTCTCTCTGTCTCTGTCTGGCGAGTGCACATGCCCTATAGCAAAAACCTCTCAAAAAAAAAAAAAATTGAAGTAACCTTCCATATTCCCTAACAATGATTTTTTTGTCTTAATGTCTATTTTTTATTAATGTGATAATTAGCTTTCCTGTGGAGAAAATATACCTACTCAGTACATCTTCTGATTTCACTTTGAAATTTTCTTTGTTTTAGGTATGTTCCTCATACACGAGGTATTACTGGATTCCTTCTCATTTGAATGTTTCTTTTAATGGGGGCTTAGTCCTCCCATCCTTCACGCATGCTCAAAACTCAATCTCAGCATCTCGATGGCTTTTGCCAGAGGACGCTCATTCTCACATTTCTGGTGTATGACCTCTTTTTCCCTTATCAGATCCAGCACATCCCCAGCCAGGCATTGCTACGATTTCGCTCTAGCTGTAGGCTTGACTGAAGATGGTATGTGGGGTCAGCTATTGCCTGGTGAGGAAAGGGGGCTAGTTATGGCCTCTGCAGTGTCTTGTAGCATAGATGAAGTGCTAGGTCAAGGAAGGCTGGGCCACTTCTGCAAGGCCAGAGGGTCCAGTAGGGATGCAGTCATCTTCAGGGACATCCATCCAGATGTCCCGTGGCATGTTTCAAAGTTACAGGTTTCCACACCAAGGTCCTGGCTTTTACAAAATAAGCCTTAGCTGAACATTCAAGTCTTTCAAATTCTGGAATTTTAGCAGATGGTCAGCCTGAAGCTCAGCTGTTTCCATTCTTCCACTGGAGGAGGTAAGTCTCCCTTGGACACTCCTTTCCTGACCCCCAAATTTCTCTGGCTTTCAAATTTAGGCATTGACAGCTTGATCACAGCCCTCGGTCTCATCCTTCTATAGATCATACAACCTAGTAGGAGCCAGCCAACTCTTGCTGTTCTGCAGACAGTTTTCATATCTTTCAAATAAATGTCTACATCACAGAATCTCGGAAATTGTCTCCATGGAGAATTTCCCTCCATGGGCACAATTTCCCAAGTTACCAACTGTGTCTGGAGTCCCTAAGACGACCCCCAAGTCGAGTGATTTGCTATAAGGACCCCCAAGACTAAGCACAGAACCACACTCACAACTATGATTCATTACAAGGACCACAAGACAAAAAGCGGCAAAAAGCAAAGGCACAAGGGCAAATTCCAGGGGAAACCAGGCCCAAGCTTCAAGTCTTTTTCCAGTAGAGTCACACAGGACACACTTACAGCAATGCATATAAAGTGTCACCCATCGGGGGGCTTGTCCTGCCTAGGAGTGTAGTCGATCATGTAGGTACCTTCTACCTAGTACGTACCAAAATTCCAGATTCTCAAAAAGAAAGTAGGTGTTCATTGTGAATTTGGTTGTTTGAGAAAACACTGCAGGCAAAGTAAGCTACCCTTCTCACTTAGGGAATGGAGGAATACTGAAATCCAAGTTGCTGAACTTGCACCAAAAGCCAACTGTGTAAGCAGATCTAAGGGCAAGTTGAGGCCTGCTATGTTAACTTTTTCCTGCACAACACCTGTGAGATATTTAGCAACTGGGCCATAACCCTGTGCCAAGGACTATTTAAATTCCACTTGCCAACCAGGATGTCATCATCTTTACCCTTTAGGTGAAAATAAGCCATTTTCAAATTCCCATTTTATTACCTTTTTTCTCCAGATCTTTTTGTCCATTTGTGTTAATCTTCCAAGAAACAAACACTAACATCAAAAAGGGGTCCACTTTGCAGATTTATTAAAGGCAATGCTATCGAAATAGATAGGGAGCTGGGGTTGGTGGGAGGCTGGGAGGCAACCAGACTGAATACAAGTATGATTCCAGGTGAATGAAAGGTGAAAGGAAGGTTGGGGTAAAAGTCACTGAGAATACAATCTAATCCTACAGGAGTTTGTTTGGCCAGACTGTCAGAGTCCTCCAGCCAAAGTCAAGGAGTCACACTGTAATATCCTTATCGTGACCAGTGATTGGCTGGTAGCAGTGTGGAGAGGCACAGGCTCAGCATGTATGCAGGGATGGTGTCAGCATGGCACTGGGCCTGCAGCCGGCTAAGCCTCCTCCTGCTGA